CGACTCATCGCGGACACATCCCGGACTCGTCGCATTTTTTGCAGGGATTAGAAATATACAGTGTGTCCTAGACCACCCGTCCATTCCCTCTAAAATAAAGGGATTTTTTTTTATTCCATAAGCGTTAAAATATTTATTACTTATTATTATTAAACATACATGTCTAAGTTAAAAAATTGACTTTCGGTCAGTTTAACCCACTTTCTGTTGAACCCAGAAGTCGTTAATAGCTCCAAAATATAGAGAATCTCCGAATTGGTATGTTGTTAATTGGCGTTTTTCAATAAAAAGTATTTTGCTCCATATTAGAGTAGAGTAGACGGGTGATCTAACACCTCCTATATATTAAGCACCTGTGTATGAATACATTCTCACCTTACCGTCACCGGCGCTATGAAAAGAAGCATCCGTCGAGAAAACTAGCAAACGCCGCGCCTTTTCACGCCATCCTATTTCCTTGCGGCATATAACCGCTTGCATTATGGCATCCAGTCCACCCTCAGGATCATCATTGTTGCCATAAGTGGCAGCTTTTTTTACCTTATACTGTGAAAAAATCATACTTTTCGTCAATCGAATTCCATAAAAATATACCTTAAATGCATGCATTTATACTTAATGATTATTTACTTACCGCGAACTCATTAGTATCCTTACTCAACGGCATAACATTGTGATAACTATAGGTAACGGATTTTTTTGATTTATCTCTAGATAAAGATTAGGTAGGAATGTTACAGTAAAAAGAGAAATTCTTGTTAAAAAGTCTATATACTTATGTGAGTATCATACTTACAGCGCGCTAGATACTTTAGTAAAAGGCATTCGAACTTTGTCGATAAACGAACCGAATCCCAAGCGAAAGTTGCTGGTGATATTAACCATTGCCTCAGCTAAACTATCACCCAAAGCGGATAATTTGTCCTTGTCATCACCCATAGAATATGATAAGTCCATCAGATAGTAGAGATCAACAGGGTAATCAAGAGCACGTGAGTATGTCAATGGCATTGTGTGGATTTGATCTAGAAAAAAAATTAGGAATCATTTCTATTCAAAACCAAATTTGTTTTGCAAATTCTTTTTATTCATGATGTTAGGTATTTCTTATTTAGTTACCTATATACTCGACATATGAACATTTATCCGTTGAAATACACCGAAAAAAGAGATTTTGATAACTATAACCTAACCATGTGTTGATAGAAATATATTTAGTTGACGTAACATAAATATTTTCTCAGTGTATTCATAAGTTTTCGATCATTTCCATTGAGATGCTCTATTATTTAGTAGCAAAACGCACCAGAACTTACGACCTAATTATGTATTCTAAGGGGAAGTAGCGTATCTGTTTTCATCTAAATCTTTCAATAAATTTTAGCGAGTGAGACCTCCGAAGTGATAATTTTTATACAATTGACATACCTATATATATATGTATGAAGAGTATTCGGATGACCACGAATCATTTGAGTTAGATGCTAAGAAAGACGCACTCTTGGACGAAGATCCTTAAAAACTTAACAGAAACTCGCAGAAGCATAGAAAAATTAGCAAACTAGGCTCCTTGCAAACTGATTCAAGAGATGCCGGATGTGAAAAACCGAAACTATCCAAAATATCGCTGCAGCGATACAGTCTACTTTCTGAGTAAATATACGAATGACCATTCTGTGATATTGCGGATTTATCTTTGCACATATTTTTCATAAGTTTTATAAAGAACTTTTATAATAACTTTGCTGAAGATCACCACAATCGGAAACCAGGAGATTTTGTTAGAAAAAAGAAAATAAACAGCACACATACTGTACGCTACATAAATTGTCTGATCGGAGTATCGATACTATTCTCAGCCATGGAAAGTGTGCCGCGAATAAAGTTGTAAGCGAATAGTTTCTCACCAACTAGCACTTGAAGCGCTTTCTCATTCGCTATTGAAATATACTTAGTAGCCAAAACTGATAGAATTTGAGAAACCTTCGCATTATATGATTCATTTTTAATGTTTGCCCATATTCATAGTATAGTGCAGTGTGGTCCATACATTAGTTTTTTTTTTTAACTCAAAAGAATTAACAAAAAAATTTAACAGAGCAAACAGTGCCATTAATTGTGGATCGTGATTTCATCAATACAGTGATCGAAAAAATTATAGCCGCACCACATATTGACCAGTTTTAACATATTAATTTTAGTATTTTTTTATGAAAGTATATTTTACTATTCTTTAAATAAACCCGTGTAAATCCAAGTTTCAGACTTTGTGCAATATTTAAGAACAATTCAAAAAATGTTCGTAATAATTTCGATCTTTTTTTTTAGTACGTAGTTTTAGTATGTAGTTTTGTAGTCCAGTAAATTATAGTAGAAAAACGGGCAAGTTTCAATTGACAAAAAATTACCGTTAATTTTTAAGCATTTTTTTTTTTTTTTAACCATTTAATGCGTCAACACCCGACAACGTCCACAGGGACCTTGTAGAGACTTTTAGGCTCTATGGTTGATGTATGTGCTTTTAAAATTAAAGTAGTTATATGTGCACCTTTAACACAATTTTTGTTCTTAGAAAATATGCTTGAAGAGCAGATAAAGCTACCTTAGAAAACGATATGTGCAAAGTGATTACTTACATACAGTCAGAGACAAAAGATAGCATACACCTCGTGCTAATAAAGGTAGTATATACAATTATTTTCAAGAAAATATTTTTTATGAAAATATAGTTCCGCTGTGGTGTAGTGGATAGCAGTGCGCATTACCACTAAAAGTTTTTTTCTAATAGCGGACGCGCCTCGGCAGGCAATGGCAAAAGCCTGTTATTACTATTATTATAACATAAACCATATATGTAAATCAAAGTTTAACACTTTATATAAAATTCACTAAAATTCAAAAAATTTTCATCCAAATGCCAAAATTTGTATTCAGAATTTTGAGACAAATCTCAATTATGCAATTTTGTAGCCCAGTAAATATTAGTTTATCAAATAGCAAACATTTTTTTGTTTTTGATTTTGACAATTTTTTTGACGAGGGTGTTGAGCATTTTCTTCCACATAACGGGTAAACAATATCTAAATGCGCAACACCCTCCACAAAAACAAAAATTCTTTGTATTAGGCTACAAAAGTGCATTCTCTAAACTTTTCTCAAAATTCTGAATACAAAAAATGATGAAAATTTTTTTAACTTTTGTGAATTTTATATAAAGTACATATATACAGTCTGCGTCAAAAATATGAATACCCAGACGTTTCTTTATTTATATTTTCCATACCAAATATTTCCTATTTTTTTTATCAAAATACAGTTAGTTCAACAGCAAAAACCAGCATAGTCAANTATAAAAATTACTGTTGATTTTTGAGAATTTTTTTTTGTCGAGGGTGTTGCGCATTTTCTTCCATATAAAAATAGATTTTGTTCATGCCTTATATGGATAAAAATGCGAAACACCCTTGACAAAAAAAATCTCAAAAATCACCGGTAAATTTTAGAGACTTGGAAGTTGCGCCTTAAAACTGCGTACTCAAAACTTTTCCAAGAAATCGAATTGAAAAGTTGACAATTTTGATGGAAATTTTTTGGTATTTCTTGAATTTTCCCGAGTTCTATATGAAATTGAAAGAATCGGTTCTGCTGGTTTCCTCTGTGGAATGAATTACATTTTTATAACAAAATAAAAAAAAAAATGGTATGGAAAATGTAAAATAGAAAAAAATTGGTATGGAAAACATAAAAATCGTGAAAACGTCAGGGTATTCATATTTTTGACGCGGACTGTATATATGTATTTTTATTTTTAATTTTTTCAAAAAAACACCGATTCTCTTATCAATAAATTACTCATAAATTTGGCCACTTACTTGCGCGCAGCTGCAAACTCATATGTTGTGGTTTCAGTTGCACGATTTCTTGACTATCATATTTTACACTGTTTACACTTTTCGCAGTTTGAATGCTCTTACCACTTGTTAAAGGTCGATTACTTATAAACTTAGAACTTTCTTGAGGATAAAAAACCGATTCGTTTGGGCAATTTGATTCCAACAAATAATCAAAACAACGATCTTGCGTATAATTTGGTTGCTCGCACCAGGCGCAATTCGGCATTTGTATGCACTCATGGCAACTGTTTTTGTTGTTGCAGGCATTTTGAGTTTCTACGCCAAGACTTTCTTTTAGTAATAAGCAGATGAATATTGCCGAAAACTTCACGAAATGCTGATGTAAAATCATATTTTGAATTTTTTTAACTTTACTTAGGCGGCTTCGGAAGTCACAACTTGAAATGTTTCTCGAACCTTGTCCACGACGAGCTGGCAAGCAACTAATATTTTAAGAAGTGATTTTAAGCTACATTAAATCTTAATATCTGACTCATGTTAGCGGACTTAGGTCTTTTTTTTATTAATTTCAACCAAAAAATTCAATTCTAATAAAAACTTGCGCGCATATCTATATACATATGTACTTATGCACAAGCTACTGATAAGCATTCTTTTCAATTCGCAGAACTCCGAAGGCCTCCTTCACGTCATACTCTACATACTTTTAGTACGAGTATGTAAGCATGTATGAGTCAGTATCGACATATAAATTTGCAAAACACGAGTACTTACAAAATATTTCAATAAAATTATAACAAAATTAACGGTTAATAGATATCACACGCTTAATCAAAAACAATCACAACCCAAAATTTTAAAAAATTTATTGGTTTCTATATAACAGTTCACAGACCACATATCTAAAGTCCGCTAAAATGTATTCTTCATCGCCATCTTTTTTAACTGGAAACTGCCGAATTCGTGGACACTATCAATAATTGGTTTGACATGTTCAATAGGAGGCTTACCAATTTCAAAAGGGCATAATTATTAGCTACAAGTATCTGACAGATTTACATATATTGGTATGTTCAGAAGTCTGGCTTTCGATACATCCGATTACTCGATTAAATCACGATGTACTCGAGCACTTCTTTGGGGCGATGCAAGCGAAGGGTGGTCTGCATGATAACCCCAGTCCCATGAAATGTAAATATAGGTTGCGAAGATACTTGTTAGGTAAACCAGCAAATTTCCCGAGTATGATTTTTAATTTTTAAATTACTTAATTATTTTTACTTTTACTTAATTACTTTAATATTTGGAAGCAGACGAAGCCGAGTGGCTAGTGATACTTCGTTGGAAACATTTCAACGTTTTCTAACTGTAGATGAGGTGGTTTCGGAGGACTTTTCATTTACGAGCGAGCTCGAAGACGAAAATTGTGAAAGTCTCCACGAGGATGCTCTGGAATACTATATTGCCGGCTACATCATTCGCAAGTTCAAATTGAGCGAATGTGTATCCAATGAGAGCTCTTTCACATGGTTGGACACAGTTTCCAGAGGAGCATTGATTAAACCAAGCACTGATTTTTTAAATACAATCAAATGAATGGAAACAGCGTTTAATAAAGTTAATTGAAATGAGGTACTCGACGGTCCATTCTTTATAAAAGAACTTCTTTCGTGCACTGAAAACATTGCTCTCGGTGAAATTGTGAGAAAACTTTTTGTTGCATGCCGAATGCACTTCCGCATCAAGCATTTGAACAAAAACATGCGAAAAAAAGACTGAACGCTAAGTGACAACACGCAACTTTTTTAATCCGAAGACAATATTTTTAAGCAAGCTTTTTTTTGTCGTAGAAAAATTTATAAAAAAAAAATGTTAAATAAATGTACAAGAGAATCAAGTTTTTATGTTATATGTTATGCTTAAAAACCCCATCTCTTAAAATAAATTTACAATCGACCTTCCTGCTTAATCAAGCAACTCCTCATCACCTGGACATAAATGAGCAGT